ATCGCAGCAACGGGCAAGAGCCCGCGTCGACCTTTTATCTAATAAATGCATCCCTTCCAGAAGTCGGGGTTTGTTGCACGTATTAGCTCTAGAATTACTACGGTTATCCGAGTAGTAGGTACCATCAAACAAACTATAACTGATTTAATGAGCCATTCGCAGTTTCACAGTCTAAATTAGTTCATACTTACACATGCATGGCTTAATCTTTGAGACAAGCATATGACTACTGGCAGGATCAACCAGGTAACATTCCTAAATGATGCCCCGAGCACGAGCGACGAAAGAACACTCAATGCAACAAAGCAGTCATGCGTAGGACTAGCGTGCCACATTGGCACACGGGGAAAGAAGAAGATGAATTCCAATGCCCCGTGCTTATACCAAATCCAAGAGCCATGCACAACTACTCGTATGCCCAGATCGCAACCAAGGGTTGCACCGAGCACAAGTAGGCGTTTGGCGTCCATCCCACGCACACCCTCGCATACAAACGAGGACGAGCACAGGACGGAAATCGAGAGTTAACATGCAAAATGCCACCCGCAGCGGTATTCGACACCGGAAACCATGGAAAATCGGCCCCAGCAGCACCGAGGCAATCGACACTGAGAAGGCAAGGCGGCAAGACGTCATTGCTACGGCAATGATCCATCTTAACCACAAATGCCGGAGACAACTCACGCACCGTCTTGCATCGCAAACATCAAGTGCAACACAACTTACACCAACAGACCACACGGTTGGAATCGCTCCAAGCATATAGTCCACCACCGCAAGTTGAACGCCATGACACTCGCATCAATAAGTGCGAAAGGGAAAAGACCGAAATAAACCCACTAGTCGCATCGCCAACGAGAGGAGACCGAAACCACATAGAGTAAAGCAACTACTCGTGCCACGCCGTTGCAACCGACCGAAACCGACTAGTGCATACGGCGACCATGCTGAAACCCGGGCAGCGAAAGACCAACGCCGTGGACCGGAGAACCACGACCGAAAACCGAAACCCACATAGAGCAGTACAACTGCTCGTGCCACGCCATTGCAACCGACCGAAACCGACTAGTGCAAATGGCGACCTTACCGAAACCCAAGCAACGGAGAGACCAACGCCGTGGACCGGAGAGCCACGCAAAGAAACCGAAACCCACATCGAGTAGTGCAACTACTCATGCCGCGCCATTGCAACCGACCGAAACCGACTAGTGCAAAAGGCGACCATACCGAAACCCAAGCAGCGGAAGGGACCAACGCCGTGGACCGGAGAACCACGACCGAAAACCGAAACCCACATAGAGCAGTACAACTGCTCGTGCCACGCCATTGCAACCGACCGAAACCGACTAGTGCAAATGGCGACCTTACCGAAACCCAAGCAACGGAGAGACCAACGCCGTGGACCGGAGAGCCACGCAAAGAAACCGAAACCCACATCGAGTAGTGCAACTACTCATGCCGCGCCATTGCAACCAACCGAAACCGACTAGTGCAAGAGGCGACCATACCGAAACCCAAGCAGCGGAAAGACCAACGCCGTGGACCGGAGAACCACGGCCGAAAACCGAAACCCACATCGAGCAGTACAACTACTCATGCCACGCCATTGCAACCGGCCGAAACCGACTAGTTCAAACGGCGACCTTACCGAAACCCAAGCGACGGAGAGACCAACGCCGTGGACCGGAGGGCCACGCAAGGAAACCGAAACCCACATTGAGTAGCGCTACTACTCATGCCACGCCATTGCACACAACCGAAACCGGCTAGCGCAAACGGCGACCATGCCGAAACCCATGCAGCAGAAAGACCAACGCCGTGGACCAGAGAACCACGGCCGAAAACCGAAACCCACATTGAGTAGTGCCCTATGCCGCGGGGCAACTACTCGTGCCCACCCAACCTGGAAACCGCGGCATTCCAACCAACCGAACCGAAGGAGAGGATAACCAACCCACCGAAACCCACGCGGCGAAAATATCCAACTCCGTGGCATGGGAACCCACGCGGAACCCACGCTGAGAAGCGCCCCATGCCGCGGCGCAACTCTGCCCGTGCCCACCCGTCGAGGAGCACTCCCCCCCTATAGTAGATAAAAAAACATATACACTGAATCTCGGAGTAGCGACATTTTGGCCCGAAAAGGTATAAATTTTTATTTCAATTTCTTTTTCCTTTATTTTTTGCTGAAAAATGCC